ACAGCAGGGCCTGAGTTGTGAAAGAAGCAACACCAGCAACTCCTTCAGCAGTTTCTGGCTGAGTTTCAAACCGAGTACATCCTATGTTATTACTTTCTTAGAGACATTCTGCCTTTTTGCTGTCATCCACTTGTTCTGGGTCTAGTTACCAGTTCCTGACAGTGGTTACCTATAAAAACTTTACATTTCTGCAGCTTATTACCTACCATAAGCAGTTACTATTACAGTTAATATGCCGGAACCAGTAAAATGCTGGCTTGCAAGTAGGGGAAGAAGGAGGACAAAACAAGTCTGATCCTGTATGATTTAAATCATTTGGCAAAATGTCTGTTAAATGAAGTCATGAACAGGATCAGGTTTGAGGCAAGAAATAACCAGGGAGTCTGCAAACTGAGCAGGAGGAGGGACACTTCTTCTGTAGTTTCTTGGGTCTTAGCCAATTCATTATCAGATTGGTTGTATCATTTTTGTTTGTTCTCCTCAGAGTGTTTTTTCTGAAAAGAAAATGTTCTGAAGATATACTCTTCCTGTCAAGGATGTTAGTAGCCAGAAGACAGAACAGAAAACACTCTTCAACATAGACACTCCTGTGCAGCCACAGCAGTTTTTCTAAACCACAGGTGACTTTCAAGTCAGTGTCATCAGCCAATCAGATAATCCATCAGAGCACAGGGCTTGTTTTTATTTTTGCTGTGTGGCAGTTAGCAGCTGAGCTGATACAGGAATTCTTTTGGAGCAGATGCCATGAGGTCATCCAGGCTGGCCACATCCATCCTCAATCACACCATGCAGCCCTTGACTCCACCATTTTGGCTTCTCCCCTCTCACTTCTTCAACCTATAGGTTCTTCAGGCTTTGGTTCCCTATTGGGTCAGCATGTTGTCACTTCCAGTCATGGCTTAATTTCGTTCTGTCTTCATAGTGCTATTATACAACAAACCAGATGGATAGTGTCTATACTACCCACCTCAGGAAGTCAAGGATTCCTCTACTGCAGGTTACGGAATTTGGAACACACAAGAAAACTGAACACAACGTGGAAGTTTTAAACACTAAAGAATACTGCTGTCTTGTCTGTCTTTAAATACAGAAAACATAATGTGGAGAAAGCAAACTATATTTTGACACAGTAAGCATAGTCACCCTGACTAACTAATTATTTCATATGGGTCTGAAGAAAGCTGTATATTCAAAATGACTTACAGTTGAGCAGGAAAGCAAAGGACTTGTTCACTCCTTAAGCCCAGTTAAAGTTGATCAGTGAGACTATAGTATCATATTCTGCAGTGATTAAGCCTCCAGCCCAAATCTAGTCCCTGCAGGTTTCCAACAAGCACATGATCAGAAATACATCTCCGCTGATGAAAGTCTGACACACACCCTTTAACATCTGACAATGCAGTGTAATTGAGGGAAAATGCACATATTCATTGTAGTCAGAATTTAGAAAAAAAGCCCAACAGAAGCTACCTTGGAAGAGGTGATAAGGACATGCAGTGATATTTATGTACTTTGGTTGTTGTGTGCCTTCTTGTGGTGTGCAGTTGTTACTTATTAATTAATTACTGCCAGTTAACAAACATCCATTCTTGTAACAGAACTACAGTGACAGAAATACTCCTTAGTTTGTCAGATCCTTTTGACTTATTCTTCCTCTCCTAAATCAGGTTTGTGACTGATAAACTGGTTTCTGAGATGCGGTCTCACACACTGCTGTTGAGTAAGTTTTCTTTGCAGGACACTTACATACTGTACCTTTAAGTACCCAAATCAATTTAATTAAATTTCATTACAAGCACTAGAGCTGAAACAAGCTAATGAAAGCAGCCATCACGTCAGGTGCTATTTATCTCAGCATTAAATTGAAAATACTCCCTTAAGGCTCTTAAAAATTAGTTTCAATATTTAACGCTAATAGCTTTTGGAATTGTTTCTGGGGATAGTTGTAATGAATTTGTTACAAACAGTTTACCTTTCCAAGGGAAGGACCTTGTTCTTTGCAGCAGAGAAGGGCTAAATATATATGACTTAAAAGTATTCAGGTTTTGGAATATGTGACATCTGTGAGCTGCCCATAATGTGCTCCAAAAACACTGTGAAGGTTTTCATACTGCATTATGCCTTGTTGAGTCATAAGCATTGCCAAGTAACAACAGTATTCATGTTAGAGTTTATTGTTGACCTACCTCCCATTATTGAGCTAATCAGGCTTTCAGACTTGTAAGTTTGTAGCATATTTGTTTTGAAGACCTTACAACAGCCACTACTCTCAGCAGTGAAAATACCTAAGATTTTAAGGGAGAAGAGGGGCAGACGTGCTACAGAGAAAAATGCTATTGCTAGCATCCCAGCTGTAGCTGGATTTTGTTCTCTTATTGGTGAGGTACTTTGCAATGCTGTTGATGAGGAAGAAATGCTGACAAAGCATAGATTAGTATTCCAAGCAAAACTGGTGCCATACACAATTCCTCTGTAAGTCCATGTGAATTTCATCCACTTCCCATCAGAAAACTTGGTATGGAGCTGAATATCAGCTTCAGTACCTTGGAAATGATGATGGCAATGTTGATGTATTACACATTTTGTACCAGATGAGTCACATGAACGCACATACAGGAAGATAAAGAGTTTGACCTATTGAAGCTGTATGAGACTGAAGGTGACAGTTTCCTGGGTTGCATCATTACTGGTGATGAGACAGGGTGTCACCGCTACGAGCTGGAGGCAGAACAGCAGTGCATGGAGTGGTGATGTGAATTCCCCATGGAAAAAAAAATGTTCAAGTCATAGCCCTTGGCACGTAATGTGTGCTGTCTTTTGCACTATGAAAGGGATGATCCTTCTAGATTTCCTGGAATCTGGACAAACCATCAACTCAACTGCTACACTGCAACATTAACTAAGCTGAAGGCTCAGTCTTAGAGAGCCAGTTCAGAAAAGGAAACAACCATTCTCTTGCAACGCGATAGCACCAAGCCCCATATCAGTTTGAAGACTGTGGAGTACATTGCCTCTCTTGGCTGGACTGTCCTCCACACCCACCGCATAGTCCAGATTTGATGCCTTCTGACTTCCATCTGTTTGAGATGATGGAGGATGCTATGATGCCATCGTACCAGATTTGAAACAGTGGGTCACCTCCACTTTTTATGAGCACAGCATGCAGGCTCTTGTTCATCATTGGTGAAAACGCAGAGCTAATGATAGTGACTTTTGAAGAATAGCATTTTGTAGCTGAGAACTTGCTCTGTCAAACAGTGTTATCCTGCTGTCGTTTCCGTGGAAGCAAAAAGGAGGCATTACTTTTGGAGTGACCTACATAGAAATGCATTCTGTAGGGAGTACAGATGTTTGGAACCTGTAGCTAGGTGTCAAGTTTCTCTCTCCTATCAGAGCATTTCTCTCTGCATCAAATGTGAATGCCTTCCTTCCTTCTGCTGCTATTAAAAGAGATGTTTGCCACACTCTTGCAGAGTTCTCTTTCTTGAAAGTGGAAAAGGTGTGTTTGAGCCTTTCCATGCTGCAGCTGGGAGAGCTGTGTGCCTGTGATGGGCCTGATGGGAGGGGTGGGCCTCAGAGCTGGGGGTCAGGGGCAGCCCAGGGAAATGTCCTTCTGCAGTCAAGCAGAGTTAGTTTTCTGTAAGTAAGAGTAAAATTCCTGCTGGTTGTAGGGATGGGTGGGGTTGCAGTATTTTAGTGTTTGCTTATATCCAGCATTTCACTGCAAAGCCATGTTTAGCACCATGCCAGTTGCTTGACTTGATATCCATGGAGCATAGCAGAAAGTGGGTGTTTGTAAAAGCCCTTCAGCCTAAAAGCCCTTCAGCCCAAGACCAGGCAGGATCAACCTGTGTTATAGATTTAGATTTAAAACTAAGTAGTGATAAAAGCAATTTCAACATGAAAATATTTTAAAGCATCTCAAATATTGTAGTTTAATAAGAGTACTAGTAAAAGTCCATTTACTCTTTCATGATATTTTCAGGCTATAAAGCTAATTATTTAGGAGCATTACATTCTGTTATAATAATACAATAATAAACTGTGGAGGAATTAACTCTATATTTCTGAAGAAGCTGTTTCTAACATTTCTATCGCTTTGTTTCTTTTTTAAAAAAATGCATCACCATTACCACAGCTCTAAATACAGGGAATGGAATTTCACTCTGTACATCTTGGGAGAAAATGCTGTGAGGAAAATGCATTGATTTTTATTGCTCAGTGTGAACAAATGGGCATATAATCCATCTTACTAGACTATAGACTATACTCAAATGTTTACATCAATTTTGCTAATGTGGTAGCTTCACCTTCTTCTTACTACAATTGGTATAGTAAGATAGAAATGACTTAAAGCAAGAACTTGCCACAGAAGGTAGCTTTGTGATTTGGAATATTTTTGTAGCCAGAATGTCATCTAAAATGTGAAAGGATCATAGAGTCATAGAATCATAGAGTGGCCTGAGTTGAAAAGGACCACAGTGATCATCTCGTTTCAACCCCCTGCTATGTGCAGGGTCACCAACCACCAGACCAGGCTGCCCAGAGCCACATCCAGCCTGGCCTTGAGTGCTTCCAGGATTGGGACATCCACAACCTCCTTGGGCAACCTGTTCCAGTGCAACACTACCCTCTGTGGGAAAAACTTCCTCCTAATATTTGACCTATCTAACCTATCTATCTAAAGTAGAGGCAAGAAAAAAATATAAAACATTGTCCAGTGTTTTCATAACTTGAGTTTTTCTGGAATACAGTACTTTACAGAAATTACTGCATTTTAAAATTGTTCTTTTTGTGTGTCAGTACAGTCAGTATATGGAATCTGGCACTACTGAGAGTATCTGTCACCCAACCACTGGAAAAAGAGAATAACCTACTGTATATAAGTAGTAAAAAATAGAATACGTAGGAAAACGCTCTGTACTTAATAATGAAGAACAGTGAGGAAAAGCACCATATGCTGTTTTTGCTGATTGCTGTCGTAATGTTTGATGTTGCAGGACGGATGGTCACAGTATCACTTTGTAGCCTCATCTTCAACGATAGAAAGAGATCGGCAAAGACCATACTCCTCATCACGCACGCCCTCCATCTCTCCCGTGCGCATGTCTCCTAACAACCGCTCAGGTAAGAGCAGGTTCCCAGGACCAAAGTAAATGCTGAAATAATCAATTAGTGTCATTTGCCTCCTTTAAGCAATGTCTGATCTGTTATTAACAGTAATGGCAGGGCACAAGATAACAGTCTTTGCTCATATCTGAACTATCCATTGAAAACAGGAATGACTTTACTTTGCGGGACACTTCATAAAGTTCTACGGCAGAGAGGTTACTTAACTTTTTGTTATGAATTGCTATGCAGTGCTTTCCTGATTGACATTAGATGACTAGATCTCAAGAACAATTAATTCTACTGTTAGCACAAGGTAATTCTGCTACTTTCTGCTAGTCATGAAATCTCTTGTGTTGTTGTGGCAGAAGTTGAAAAATCCACATTATTTCTGTCAGCTTTTATTCTGATTGTATGTGTATGTGTGTAGATGTACATAAATGTGCATTCGCTTGCATATACAAGTTGCAAGTTTAAAAAAATTTTGACTACAGGTCTTCGTGTAATATTGATGTCACATTTAGAACAACTGTCATTAATTCTGTATGATCTCTGCAGTGAATTAATGTTAGTATGGCAACTTGTACTGATGTTAATTTATTTTTCTGCTCAGTAATCTAGGCATTTTTTCATAAGCTTATTCTAAGCTAAATGTATCCTGTCTAGTTAAAACAGGCTCAGTAACAGTATTTTAAGATAAACAGTTAAAACAGACAAACTTTCAGTGTGCATTTCACTACTTGTTGAATCAAATCCTGCCATTACATAGGTATACCAGTAGTTTTAGATTAAAATTTACCACACTGGTTATTGCCATCAGCATCATACAGTAGTTGCATTTCTAAGAAAATAGTTGTGTTAATTATCTATAAGCTGTACCTTAGTCCTGCTGAGAAACCACTGAGGAAGTTTGAAAATGTGGCTGTAAGTACACCCCAGTGAGAGTTACTGCTCTTACTATTCCATCTAAATTCTTCCATGGTATGCTTTTAGGGCTTTGTTCAAAGAAATAGACAGCAAACGAAATCAACACTGATCTGTGAAACTATTTCATGCATTATTTTTATAGGCAAGCCAGGGCAAGCTAGCAAACTATCCAGAAAATGTTGCATGTGGTAGGTATAAAGCAGACTGAAAACCATTCTCAAATAATGGATGTTAGTTTCATTCTTTTCTCAAAATGGAAGAATACTTTCCTTGGAGGTCTGCCTTGGGTCCAGTACATTTCAGTAGTTTTAATAATGACCCTTCTAATACACAGAGGATACCTGTTAACTTTGCAGGTGGCATAAATCTAGAAGAGAATCACCTTATATGGGGAGCTCTGTTAGAATTCAGAGTTGTCCTGAGAAACTGGAGCTGCTGTCTGAAAAGATCTTACTCCTTACAAATAAATTACAAGGGGAAATCTGGCTAAATGAAACCGCATTAGAAATGACTTAGGGATTTTTGTCAGTTGCAAACATGAATCAGGAGATGGAGAGATCAGAGTATGAAGACACACTGAATGGATTGTAATTTTTTAACTCAGAGACAAGTGAGAAGAGATACACATCAAGGCTTCAGACATGTAAGAGGCAGCTGCAAAGAGGCATGCTATGAACTTTCTCTGCTTTCATAGAAGACAAATAATGAGCAGCAAGGAGTCAGGCTAGACATCAGGGAACATTTCCTAATGGCAGAGAAACAAAGCATTGTAATAGACTGCTTGGAGCAATTACCTGTTTTTTGTCATCAGAGATCTTTAGTTTCAGACAAATCTGTCAAATATTATTTTGGTATAGTGTCTAGTACCTTGGGGTAAAAGGCTGAAGTAAATGAACTCATCATGTCCCATTCATCCCTAGGACTTGGTGATGCAATGCATTTAACTAGCTTGAAGAGTTCTGTCTTTTTGTGTGTAATTTAAGAATAATAACACAAAAACTTGATATTACTTCTTAGTCTAATGTAAAGTAATGAATGTATGTCTACTTCCAACAAGAACTCTGGAGGAGGACAGTTCTATATTTTAACACTTACCAAAAAGCCATTGTTCTAACATGTGAGGAGAGGCACAATTTATACAGGGAACAGAGAGAGATGTTTTTTTTCTCATAAGTCAATTTTATTCAACACAGCAGATTGTTACAAGTATCACTGAAGTATGGGAAACAAAATGCATGCAAGTGTTAGTTACCTTTTGAAGGACTGCATCCTGTTTCATCCCCTGCTTAAGTCAGGCTCCCATTAGCTGATTTGGTAATTTAATGTCATGTCATGTTTCTTCGTAGTTAATACTTTTATCACCTTCAGAATTACATCACTATTGACAAGCAACTTAAAAGCAATCCCCAGTTTTGATGGCTTCATAAGAAAGCCATCTGTACCACGTCTGCTCCGCAATTTCAGAGAAAAGATGTTATTGCTCTGGAGATTATTTTATCATTTTGAATGTCTGGGTGGCAGCCAGGAAGCATGTGGAAACAAGCACCAAAAGTTCAGTTATTTTTTTGCCACTATGCTTTTACTAAATCTGGGGTGTTCTGCTACTCACTTTGTACTACTTTCCCTCTCCTCCCCTCCCCAACAGGGAAAGTGCATTGTATCTACCAACATCTGAATGTATCAAAATTAGTTTATTTGAAATCTGCTATTTTTGTCCGAGCTTCTCTCTTTTTCCTTTCATAGCATCACAAGCTGTGAGTCTTTGTGATCAACACCACTCATCACCTTCACATTCTTCAGTGTGTGAGAATCACATACAAGCCCAATTTCTTAGTCATTTTTCACTTCCCCGCTTTTAGCTAGACCACGTTTCAGTCAGACTCTTTCTTACTGGCTGCTGAAGCTCAGTCAGCTGTGAAACAACTCCACAAGCCGGCTGTTCCCATGACATTGTTCCCCAACCTCCTTCTTTCAGCTGTCTCAGCCTCTGAACACTTGAAGAGTTTCACAGCACGTGATGAAAGAAATTTTGTTTTAATGCCAACAGTTTGTACTTAGATAGTTAATGGCAGAGAAATTATTTAAGTTACTTTTAAGTGTTGTATTATGTATTCTATGAAAAAACAGCTTTATTTTCTTCTTTTCCCCCCAGAATTATTTCAAGGCTTGTTTATTTTCAACAGAGAAGGAAGGAAAGAAACCACTTTATCTTCTTCTATAAGGATTTTTCTACTCAGTTGACAGTTAAGGGGTCTTTTAAACAGAAAAGAATTGACCATATTAAAAAAAAAAAAAGAGAAGTAGCTACACTGGGAGGTGTTGACACATTAAATAAATTGAAATGCTACGGGAAATTTGTTTATTATTATTATTATTATTGCTGTTTTTGTAGTTATTCGTAATGATCATCTTAGATGTTGAGTGTAAGTGAAAAGAGAAAATGATGTTTGGAATCGATAGTCCTGAATTTGAAATAACAACGGTTTTTCTTTCATAATCACAGAACCACAGAATGGCCAGGGTTGGAAGGGACTTCAAGGATCATTAATCTCCAACCCCCCTGCCACATGCAGGGCCACCAATCTCCCCATTTAATATTAGACCAGGCTGCCCAGGTTCCCATCCAATCTGGCCTTGAACACCTCCAGGGATGGGGCATCCACAACCTCTCTGGGCAGCCTGTTCCAGCACCTCATCACTCTCTGTAAAGAACTTCCCCCAAACATCCAACCTAAATCCTTCCTCTACTTAAAGCCATTTCCCCTTGTGCTGCAGTTATCAACCCTTTCAAAGAGTTGATTCCCCTCCTCTAGTGTTTATTCAAACAGCTGAACAGTAGTCTACTAGCAAATATATGCTTTACTGTGATGTTTACTGTAGAGTTAAACAGTACATTCAGTGATGATGGGGTAAGAAAAACTAAATCCATTTTTATGATCCAGCAAGTGCCCCAGCCTCACCTCGGGAAATGATCAGCCTAAAAGAAAGGAAAACAGACTATGAATCAACTGGAACAAACGCCACTTACCATGGAAGTAAGGGAGAACACACTTCTAGGAAAGACACCATGACAGGTGAGATTATGCTTACATAGCACATGTGAAAATCAGTGATGATAGATGGCCAATTTCATAGGCTTGGCTGATGAGTTGACTTGCTCTGGTTTGTGCCAAAGTTTAGCAACGTTGAAGAATAAAACAGAAAAAGTGCTTGATCTTGGTGAATTCAAAGCTCTGTGAAAATGATTTGCAAAGACCGTGATTCTTCAACAAAAAAGTCTCTAAGAACATTTGTATATTTCTTTTTAATTTTGTTCTCTTTTCTGAAGAAAGTGGGTAAATCCACCTTGTATTAACTGGTGCTTTTTCTGTGAGCATGACTATGGTGAGCATGTGTGGTGGTTGCTGATGCCTGTCTTTTGCAGGGAATGGCTCTGTGGGACAAGTTAGTTGTTTTTATATGTCAGTCATAGCTAGGAAATTCCCTAGCAGTTTGGAAAGACTATTCTTGTTACTTTCTCAACTAGGCTGATATAAAATTTAACAATTTTCTTGGCATATGTATCATCTTTTGCAGGTTTCACTGAAGGCCTTTCTCCCTTTGTGAGCTCATTCACCTGTTAGCATTTCAGCAATTAAGAAACATTGACTACTTTGGCTAGAATTGCACCTCTTCTTTAGTTCTCTGCAAAATATGTGTCGATCTCTATCACCCTTACACAGGCTTATATAACCTCTGTTGGGTATTATGTTATATTTATACTGTGCTAAGCCTCATAGTGTCCTCTCCACCAAATGGTACCTTGTAAAAATTTACAATGAGGAGTCATTCTGCATTTTTTGAATGCCTCTTGCCTTTTTCCGTTCCCTCTGCAATGGTCTTGCTCAGAGAATGCCAGAATGGGTTGGTTTGAGTTCTTAAGCTCACAGGGACAGCAGAAACGTGCTGATTAGATTTCAAGCCATCCATGCTAGTGTCCACTTTCAGCACATGACACGAATCACACAGCATCTATTCTGCTGTACACCATTGTGCAATCACAACCTAAAGGCCAGTGTTTGAATTTGGGTGAAAATGTAATGCAGAATTAGCAAGAAAGTGAAGTCTGAAGAAGAGGAATGACACTGAAGAGCATATGGAAACCACAGAATCGAATGTCCTGAATCATCCCTACAGGATACCAGTGAAACTAAAGAAAATTCAATCAAGGTACTGTATCTAAAGTATCTATAACATTTTGTGTGTTTCATAGTCATATGAGAGGATTCTTTAAAACACTTCAGTGGCCATTACTTGTGTGATTATAAAGGACAGCACTTAATTTTTTTTTCAGCACTTTCATGAAGAAGGAATCTGAATAAGAACTGCAGAAACATTAGTATTTCACCCTACCTGTGTCTGCAAATTCAGACAACCAGATTATATTTGAAAGTTCTCAAAAATGGATTTCCTTGTGGAAAAACTTCCTTAACTTCCTTGCACTGTTCCTGTGCTTCCTTGCAGTTCGTTACTTATTCTTTCATTTCTCTCTCCCCACTTCAAAAAAACGTCTTTTTCCCCATCTCTTATTATTTTACCATTTACTGTAGTGTCTTTGTTCTCCCTTATGTCCTTGCTATGTCTGTTCCGTTTTAGGAACATGAGGTTTGTGCTTTCCCAGCAACCTTTGCTCCACTGTGATTTTTGCATCCTGTTTTCTTTTCACATCTGTTTGTATTTTGTATGTTCTTATTGATCTTTTGGAGAGGTTCTTAATAAGAGCACTCGAGACTCTCAGCATCATGCTCATCTATTGGTAATGTTTCCAACTATTGAGCTTAGTGAGAAAAATCAGAAACAATCAAACTGATAAGTTTTATAATGTTTTAAAATCTTATAGCCATTGTATATATGAATATGAAATTAATAAATCACTTTCTGTGTCTTTCAGGTCACCAGATCGCTGCTCATTTGGTCAGAGCTCAAATTAAACATCATTTTAAGAACAGAAAATGACAGGAGTTGTATTGTCAACATTTGATGTGAAATGTGTGTAACATATCTGTAGCTGATTAAATAATAAACATTTCATTAAAGAACAGTATGAAACTTATGACTTTAATTGTGAGACATTTTGGCCTTACTTCTGTGGTCATTTGTAAGTTTGCATAGCAAATTCATTTCAATTCCTATATTTCATTGTGTGCATCAAATAATGCATTGCAGTTAATACCTCCACAGAGCCTATGGGACTTAGATAAATGTTTTTTCAAGTTCCACCTGGCGTATACATATACTGAACTGCTCTTGTGTTTTGTGCCAAGCTGATATATTGCACAAAGCTTTCTTTGACTTATAGATTTACAGAATGTGGAATGCAATAGCAGTAGTCCCAATTTATCTACACCTGTCTCCATGCTCTTCTTCAAAGCTCTTCTGAGTTTATAGTTCAAAAATTTTATGACCTCTTGGCTAAGACTGAAATGAAGGTTTTGTGATGGATTTTTGAGGTAGAAATGCTGGATTCCTGCCATTGTGGAGAGCTGTTAGGAAACCTCTGGGAAAAAATGGAGAATCTATGAAGTAAACAATTTGGCTGAAAATGATAACTTACATTGATTTCACAAGAACAGCTAAAAAATAGGGGAACAATATCAAAGTTTCTATTGCCCTCCTCACTTCACAGGTTTATGATGCTGTGTATATTTACAGTCCATCTTCTCTTTTCTGTAGAAAATAATAACCAATAATAAAATTTTATCACCTAAAGTATATTTTTAAGACAAAAACTATTCTTTTTTTTTTTTTTTTTTTTAAAGGAGCTGTAAATGAATGTGGTAACATTATTTATGCCTTGGTGTTCTCCTTCAGAACAGAGAAGATAAGCCTACTGTATACTGTTATGGGACTTTGTTGGTATCCTCACTGAACCAGTATGTGCATTACAATCTGCACCCTACATCTTCACTTCCACCAGCAGAAATACCTTCTGATTAATTTATTATGTTGCTTGTCAGTAATCTTTCATCTGTACTTTTCTTATTTGAACTGACTTGCACATTCTGTACACAACCCCCAACTGTTAAAATAGCTAGAGATACTCAGGTGACTTGAACTCATTATTACTTTAAGAAACCACAATAAAACTGTAATATTTTGAAATGCCCTTTCACCATAAATGCAGGTGGCGGTAGTAATGACAGGCAGTGATCTCTGTTAAGTGATATTTGTGAGGCACAGAAGCATTTTCCTTCACTGTCTTGAATTAAATTTTATAAAACAGAGTCCTGTTCATAGTAGGAAGAGCAGGTTAAGCAATACCAGTTGAGGATGACTGCCTCCCCATTGATCTTTCCTTTCTTGTGTCTGTCTGTGTTTGTGAGTGCAAAAGGTTAGCACCTTATTATTTCAAAGTGCCTGTAAATGTGTTCTGAATGGGTACTTTTAGGAGCTGGAGATTGAATGTTAAGCCACAAATCAAGTGACTGAGATACGTGGGGAGGGCTTCAATCAATGATAACTTTGTCACATAAACCAGTGAGTGACATAATTCTCAGAGCTGCTGGAAGCTTTGGAGAAGGTGGCTGAGGAAAACTTGTATTATTTTTTTTTTAATCAATATCACCTTGAAAAGTGGGGAAAATAATAAAGTAAGGTATTTTTCTCTAACGTTCTTTATACAGCACAACCACAAACTACTGCAGGCATATCATAGTATTCACTTCAGAACTGTCACTATTTTGCCCAGTAAAAAGTACCTTCTCAGTACTATCTCGTGCTGTTGTTTAGATACTGCATAAAATACAGACACACACACTCATCAATTCTGGAATCGGTTTATCTGCAGTGACAATTCTCACCATTCTGTAAGGAAACGTGTTTGATGGAAAACCTCTGTCTCCTGCTCTTTGTACCTCTTTCCTTTGCCATGTTTTAAAAAGGGAATTATTTGATTAACTCTCTTTCTCCGGGTTCATTTTACTATGATGACTCATGTAACATCAGATACTAGCCACCCAAATATTTTTCCTTTCATCTGGCTCATCCTCTCCCTTCTTTCTTTTATATTCACCCCCTGCTTTTGAACAGCAAGAGTCAGCTGCTCACTGAAGTATGGCACAGCAGGAATGGAGTTCACAGGAATGCTGCCTGCATGTTCCGAAGCAGGTACTGGAGTGGGGCTGCATGCATTACTGGCAGCTATATTTCTTGGCTTACATTTCCTCCAAGACAGAGACGGAGTTATCTCATCCTCCCAGCTAGACTAAGCCAAGATTTCTTGTTTGTGAACTTGGCATTCATTTCAAAGCATTTGATGTGTCATTATACTCCTTTTAATCACTTTAAGAAAAGAATACCACAGTTTGCTTGCATTTGACTGCAGTGAAATCAGCAATGCAGACCTTCCATTATGCAGAGGCTATCCATTTCTTCCATCATGGAATCTGTGATCTGGGAGACTGCAAGTCTTCATCTGGCCTGTGGCATGCAACAAATTTCACAGCACTGTGGTTGAGAGCTATGCATCTACTATGAACTGCTTCTGTTTTTTTAATAATTATGGCTATTAGGGGCACATGGCCTTTTAGTTGCCTATAAAAAGATGGAAAGGCTGTGGCCCTCCTAAAAGTCTCTCTGATTGTTTGTGGGAATGCTCTGTGAATTAGCATGTGTCCAGTCTGCTGTTCTTCTTCAGGTTCTCCATAAAACCCTCAGATTTGCATCTTATACTGCTCTTTATTCTGGACAAATAACTATGAATAGTATTGTACTTTCAGTCATTCCTGTCTAAAAATTTGTATGTATGGATCTTCAGTCATGCTTATCTTTAGATTTATATACATAAAAAAAACGAAACGTTACAAGAAGTTCTTCCCCATTTATGAAAGTCCAGCACATCATCACTTCCGTGTTGTTCATCTCTGCTCCATTTCCTACATGGGACTATGCACTGTCTTAGTAACTGCATCCAGCACATCAAGAACTAAGAACTAGCTAACAGTGAAAAAAACGGGGAGGGGGCTGATTTTTTTTTTCCAGCTGGTGAAGATCATCACCCCACCATATAGGTCCAGTCTTCATCCCATTTCAAGATCATCCTGGAGATCTTTAAGAACACCACCTGTGATCAGTAAAGTGGCAACATGGAATAATGCTCCAAGCTCTGTCAAAAGCTTTAGCTTCGGCATGGTGCCTGTAGCAGATGTGGAGATCAGAATGGGCACTTCACAGTCAGCTTTGATTACTGGCCATTCATTCCTTTCTCCATAGTGGGTAGAGTGACTGGGGAAGAATGACAGAGGCAGTTTACTGTGCTGGGATCCATGCTAGCAGGTTTCCAAAGGAAGAAAAAGTGGTTACTTCTTCAGTAGCTGTGATTCTTCCTGGTGATGTGACCAGCGTGGATCCCACCGCCAGCTTTCATCTCTGCCCTTCAGTACTGCCCTCCAAGTTTTGAGTTGTGAAGGTACTAAAACCATCTCGGGTTTCATACGGTTGCACAGAGACCTGAGAGAAGCTGAATGGGCAGCTTGTTTCAGTTCCACTGATGCTCTGATTCACTGCTGTTCAAGTTTTAAAATTATTTTTTGGGTGTATGCTTTTATAGTGAGAGTCACAGTAACAGTTACCAAGTCATTGGTTCTAGTATCTGGAAAGTTAATAACACATATCCAGCAAGCACAGTGTGCACCACATCTACATGACATCCTTCCATCAGATAACTTCAGACATGAGAAATGCATACATTTCTATCAGCAAGCTGAGCTTCAGATAGATACTCAAATCAAGGTGATCGGGGAAGGTTAAAGCCTTGCAGAAAAATCCTTGGTTTTGAATGTATTTTTTTAGGCAGGTACTCAGTAATCTTTGCAAAACAATACAATGTCATCCCTGTCTTCAGAATCCCTTCTGATTTCAAACTCGTAGCTCAGTTTTGTCCATGCATTTTAGTAGTAAGGTATTAGAGAAGAAAATTACTGCAGTTCATGGACTTGAGACCGTCTTGGCCAGAATATCTTTGGTTTAACTGCTTATTTTTTGTGTAACTCATCAGTTGTATTTAATCAGTCTTCCCATGAATAATTTCACAATATAACAGTAGCATTGTTGGATAAGTAATCCAGGATCAGTAACGTTCAACTGAACTGAAATGAGTTAAATGTTTCTTAATCCCAATATTTACAGCAATATGTGTTATACAAAATCCCACATATAACCTGGAATATATTACTGAATGCTAGCTATATATGAAAATATTGTGTTGATTTATGTGTGATGGTAAATGATACAGTGCCTGTTACCATTAATGTGCTTACCATGTACATATATGTACCCCAGAGCAAAGATTAATACTGTTTAGTGTGAGAGAAAGAAAATAGAATACTGCTGATGCTTTTAAAGATTTTTGTGTAAGGGAAATGAGCACTATGTAAGTATTAAATGAAGCCTTAAGAATTTATTTTGAGGCCACAGCTGGTAAAACTGCTTTTCTTTCGTTTCTCTCTCTCCAGCTCAGAACACTGGAATCTCAACTTTGTACAGAAATTCTTATGGTGCACCTGCTGAAGATATCAAACATAACCAGGTAAGTAAGGAAACTAATATATTGCTGTTCTAGATTGCAAGATGCCAGTGTAACATTTTGTATGGAAACTATGAAAAATATCACAAGAATTAAAAGATCTAGGTTAGAATAAATGAGTCACATGCTTGACCATATGCTGGCAATTCCACTGGTCTAAGGCAAGTTATATCCTTAATGCTAATGCATAATTTCAGCCCAAGTTTCAAAAATGTCCAACAGGTTATGACAGCAGATGCACAAGAATTATTTAAAGAATCTAGGCCTTTCACTCATAATGAAATCAAGAGAGGCTTGAGACCTACATGCCTTTAAAGTTCTGGATGTGTGATGAGCACTGCAAGGGCCAAGCTAACATAATGGGCACTTCTGCTTTGTCAAATACCTGGTGATGTCCTGTGCCAGTAAACTTGGTGAAGTGCATTCACATCTCATTGCTTGAGTGTATCCAACATATAATTGAAAGCTACTTCTGGCACTGTTTGGCTCACAGGCTAAGGCATTTTATCAGCAACATGTATACTGGACAAGCCTGGCCTGGTACCCTTGTATCTCCTACAGGTACATATGCATTGTCTGTATATATGTGTAGCTCCATTGTTTTCCACAACTGTATCTTATAATTAATTATCACAGTTCCTGAATATTCTCACAGCTTCCCTATGCATTGTTCATCATTCTTCAAATAGAGGTAGGAGGCCAAAAACACTTAGGAAAAGCACTTTACATAGAAACACAGAATTGCTCTGGTTGGAAAAGACCTTAAAGATCAAGTCCAACCGCAGCCTGACTATACTACCCAAATGATGAGTAATAAAAGAATATTTGGTGGAACTGATTAAAAAAATCCTGAAAATTTCTACTAGATTACCTGAAATTTCAGTTTCAATGAATGTGATTTCAATCTGAATCCACAAACTTAAGGCAAGTTTCTGATGTTGTGCCCCTATGTTCCTTGTATTGGTTTTACTCTTTATTTAGCCAGTATTTCATGTGGTGTACCATATTTGTGTGCACTTCTTCAAGGTATTTCTGTTTTTATTGTCTTTAAAGAGAAAAGTCCTTCTAATTAACACAGTGTTTAGGGAAAGGAGGAGTATGAGGTATTCTAACAGCTGATGCACTCAGGCTGCAGTCATAAATAATTTGATTTTTAGAGTGAGAGCAAAAGGAAAACACCACTTTTCCACCTTTTTCCACTTGTTTTCTCAAAGAAATGTCAGGTTTATGATTGACTTATCATAAATAATGTTTCTATTAATAAAGGATCCCAGAATACTAATTTGGTCTTCTTTCTACTCAAAAATATGACTGGCTATGTCTTCTGGCTTATGAACAGGTTGCTCAGTATGTAATTTTTCTCTTTTGTCCAAATTGAGATACCTGTGTTTGAACATGTGGCATTACACATAAGTGGTGCTAGAAACAGAAAATAGAGTTGTTATGCTCCCTTTTGCCATTTTGATCTTCTGACCAGTGCTGTAAGGTCACTTGCAGGGCTGTTAAAGGTAGTGAACACTGACTGTCTTTTGCAAGTTACTCATAGAGTCCCATACAGACATTTTGAAAGAGTAGCCAACAGTTTGGGACATAGCAATGCAATTGTGCCCATCTTCTTCAAGGAACATGGCAAACTCATGCATAGTCTGCAGGTTTGGCAAAAAGTCTTCTGATACTGACATTGGCTCGCTGGAAAAGACAGCATTTGAGGATTGAAAGACCATGTCATTTTGCAGTCACAAAGCCTGCCCAATCTTCATGGAGATGGCAGAGTGAAAGATAGTGTTCCACTAAGATACTTGACAAATGATTATAATTTTCAGATTTCTATTAAGTCCCAAATATCAAAACAGAGATTCACTAGGGCTGTCAAAAAAAAAAAAAAAAAAAAATTAATGGCAAACTTAGATTAGGGGTCCACCTGAGTCTTTTTTCTGTATATCATTAATATTTCAAGCTCAAGGCAACTTACTGGAATGTAGCAACTCAAGACTGTCAGCATGAAGTGTCAAGGCAGTGGTAAGAAATTGTTTCAACTTAACAGTAGCAGAATGCATGCCAGGGGACTTAGTCTGAAATGTTCTCATGTCAGTGCCCTGAAGGCTATACTTAGTTCTTAACGGTGTCACCCAGTCTCATCTGTGGCAAAGGAAGTTGCAAATGTTAAGCATATTGGAGTGTGTACACTGTCCGTTCAGATTCTTCTGAAATGAATTTTTACCACCAATATTTGCACTGTATAGCTGCAAAGTAGTCAGAAAGCTGTATACAGATGATGTTTACTAAAAGTTACTGTGAGCAGCACTGCTCAGAACCAGATTTTAACTACATTTGAAATAAACCAGCATCTGTTAGCAGCAGTAAAATGAAATAATAAATGAAAGTGTAAAGAATATAATGACAAGGCAGAGCTGTGGAATTAATTCACTTCTAAGTGCTACTTCGGGCACTGGTTAAGTAATGACCAAGTTTCCATTTCCAGCACGGTGAACGTAGAATGAGATTCACTCTTTCTTCCCTCCTGCCCACAGAAAATTGTATCTAAGAGGTGCGGATGTTGCTGTCTTTCAGGTTTCAACACAGCCAGTTCCACAGGAGCCCAGCAGAAAAGATTACGAACCATATCAGCCGTTTCAGAATTCAACCAGAAACTATGATGAGTCCTTCTTTGAGGACCAAGTGCATCATCGTCCACCTGCAAGTGAATACAACATGCACCTGGGACTAAAGTCAACTGGCAACTACGTCGACTTCTATTCAGCTGCTCGTCCCTATAGTGAACTTAACTATGAAACAAGCCACTATCCAGCCTCTCCCGACTCCTGGGTTTGAGACTTGGGCAGATAGAAAAGCTCCAGGAACTGTGCATGTGCATGCATACCACAAGACATTTTTTTCCTGCAAATTTAGTTTGTTAAAGCCTGTTCCATAGGAAGGCCCAGATAACCAGTGTGGAAAAAATTAAGAGATTTTTTTAGAAGGCTAAAAGAAATGAAAGCTAAACCTTGGAGTAATTAGAAAGAAATATATATACTATATATATATTTTACAGTGTAGGACAACTTTAGGGTTGGCCAGTAGAGTCTTAAGTTTGTTGCTGTGTATTGAATGTGGCTGGGAGAAGGAGGGAGATTATGACAGTGGATGTGGGTCAAGAGTTAAGCACAAGTAACTGAGCAGCGTACATACTTTATGGGGAACAGCTTCTCACACTTTGTTTAATATCCTCATTCATTGTGACTCTAGGCTTCAAGTTGCATTTGGGGTTTCCTCTGTACAGCAAGATGTTTCTTGCCTTTTGTTAATGCATTGTTGTAAAGTATTTGATGTACATTACAGATAAAAAAAACAAGTGCATTGTGTATATTACACCAATGCCACAGTGTTTCTTCATCTATGGTTCTAAATATTGCTTCAATTTCAAATTTTGAAAGATGTATGAATTTCCAGTTTTTTGTTTTTCTTTTCCCCAGTGCGTTTTAACAAAAAAAAAAAAAAAAAGAAAAAGAAAAAAAAAAAACAAACAAAAAGGAATATTTAGCAGTATTGTTCGTTCTGATATGTGAATTTGTTTGTGGCAACTAAAAAAAAAGGCATTCAGCAGTTTCTGACAATTAACATTCATCATTCCACACTCCTTGTCAACAAAGTGCTTTTTCACTGCCTAAAATTTTAGATGTAGATATTTGAAATAGATTTTTTTCATTTATACCAGTTTTCTTTATGATGATACAGTGTTAAAAGAAAATAAATTACAATTGATCTGTCATCCATATTTGCTAAGAATGTCTATTTCCAAGAATCTACCATACAAATATACATTCTTACTCGTGTGTGTCCACGTATGCATAGTATTCTGTGTGTGTGTGTGTATGTGTTTGAGTGTGTGCGTTTGTGTGGTATAAAACCTATTTTCATCCAATGTTTTCCTCGTTCAAGCTTCAGTTTTTGTTTGATTTTCAGTTTTTTTAAACAGTGGAAACTCCAGTATGTGCTTTCTCTTACTCACTTTATTAACCATAGATAGCAATTGAAAATTGTTAGGCCACATACTCGCAAAGGAAGGGGTTGTAGGATATTTTTCATTGAGTCCTTCACCCTCAGGTGCCATTTCCTTTAAAATAGCATCTCTTGATCTTCTCTTGAGGAAGGAAATGTCATTACTTTCCATCCACCAACCAGCAAGTGCTCAAGGGAGAGAGTTTGATCTTGCCATCTCCCTGGGGGAATGGAAAACCAAGACCCAGCAGGCTAAAGCCTGGAGTGCCCAAACTCTTCAGGCTACAGAAGGGTCCAACTCATGAACCATTAGGACAATCATTTACTTTAACCCATACCAAAAAGAAAACCCAACGCCCAAAACACATTCCTCAAATATGAAAGATACTGACCATTTCTGTGCATTTAAAATAAAACCGTTTAAAAAAAAAAAAAAAAAAAAAAAAAAAAAAAAAAAAAAGGAGAAGAGACTTTTTTTGAAAAAATAAAACAAAAAAATAAAAAGGAAATGAAAGGAAACTAGGCTGGGAGTCCAGAATAGCTGGGCTAATATTAGCTTTTGGGATTCTAGAAGTTAAAAAATTAAAAACAAAAAAGAATCTAGCATTTCTTTCATTCAGCCAAGAGTTTGTCATACAGTTTCCACAGAATAAGACCCAACACAAAAGGAGTAGTTGTAAATTGCTTCAGTTACAATTAAGGAATTTGTTTTAGGTTGCAAACATTTCTGTGGTTAGTCAGTGTAGTAGTCTCACCATCACCTGGCACACTTTGGCTGTGTGCAGGGGGAAAAGTCTCTCACAAACCATCACCTGCTCCGTAGGACGCAGACCGAGTAGTTGGTGCGGGAGGATGTTGTGACGTAGAATTGGTTTTTCGATAATCTAGGACTAGAGTTTAATCTTTTTGGCAGCTTTTCCCAGTGTACGATATGTAACCTTATCTGCTCTTTGTAGTAAACAGGGGGAAAAAAATCGCATGCAAAAAAAATTTTAAAACATTTAAAAAAGGGTGGGTGGGAGGGGCACAGTGGGCCAGATGTATAGTGAGGTAGATGAAAATATTATTCATAGTTTTGGACACAAGTTGTTTATATTTTATTTATTACATTGATTTTAATAAGATAAGTGACATTTGCAGTGCTCTTTTGAACAAAGCACATTTTCAGTATAAAAGCTTTTTTTTTAATAAAGAATGTCACTCTCAACTTGAAGTTCTTCTTGCCTGTCTGATAACCACCAGATCCGTGCAGGCCTCCAGCCGCAGGACCACAAACAGGCCAAAGGCACCCGTGGTTCTAGTTAAAGTTCTTTAGACAGAAATTTATTGTAAGTTGGATTTATTTCTGTTCTTCAAACTACTAAAATGCCCACATTGCCCCCTTGCAGCTCCTCTCAGAAAACTAATTGCAGTCAAATGTTGACCATTGCTCAAGTGAAACATTTTGGACCAATGAAGTGGCATAAAATATCTTTCGTCTATAGTTTGTGTTGCTTTGTTTCCATTCTTCTGTAGTGGCAAGTGCTCCTACTACCGTTGTTCATTCTTGCTGTACTGCATTTTGAGACGGTGTGGAATTACCTGGCTTCTCTTCCAGGCTTGGAAATCCAACACTGCTGCCATACTGAAGCAGGATATGTCATGATGCATTCTCTTTAGTACTGAGGAAAGTATCATTACCTATTGCTGTTCCCTTCATTCTTGTACTAGATAAAACACAGAAATAGAGAAGAAACCAAACTGTTCCAAAAAATGTATAAAATGCAATTGATGTACTGTCAAATGTCAGATTATTTTTTTTTTTAACAAGCTTCGTATTAGAATCTTGATCAGCTGTGTAGACCTTGATAAATCTCACTGTTTTATTAAATGCTGTTTATGGTCTGGCAGGAATGGTTAACCTATCTCAAGATTAACAAATTTGCACTAACATGAGCAATATTGATTTGAAAAAATAATATGAATTCAATATTTAAATGATAAACTATGATTTTAAAGGTATATTAACACTGAAAGTACATTTTGACAAATAACATATTTAAGCCCAAAATATAAGTGGTTATGTCAAATAACACAAAAAGAACTATAACAATATAGAGTGAGAAAAAATGTGTTTCACTGTACATGTTGCTAACATGTACAAAGACAAACTCATATTGACATATTTTCTATTAATAAATCCTACTGTATTGTGGAGAATTGCTGGTCATAGTGCAGTATGTTTACAATCAGAAATTGTCTCCATATGTTGATTCCCAACTTCACACATCCAACAACTCCCCTGCAAGTCACATATTTTAAAAACTGATTGAATATTAATAATCTCTCACATCATGTGCTGCCGCCACCCCCCAAAACAGGTTTATGAGCACAACTTCAAAAAGCAAGCAAAGGGGAAAGGCATTTCTGAGAACATTGTCAACACCTTATTCATCCTTAACTGAGGCTTGAGCGGTAGCACTCAAGGACACTGGATGGGAACATTAAAAAATACAAACTTGGCCCCAGTGTTATGTAGACTATGGTCAAAATACTCAGAGAAAGACACTAATTCAGTTGTGCATTGCCAGGGATCCTGGCAGGCCATACATGCAGCAGGTGGGAATAAGTGTTTCCTGGGGCTAGGCTGCTTCAGACTACAAAAGTGTCTCTGAAGGGAGGCTTACAACCAAAATTAGGAAGGCAGACTTTTTTTTCTACCTTGACACAGCATAGGCTGCTGTACAAGGACAAGTGCTGCAAGGGAGGCTTTCTCAGCTCCTCCACCCATGTTACTCACCCTCTCCTGATGACAGATAGAAAGAGTTCTCAGCTGGGTGTTACTGCTGGTAGCATAGGGACTGGGAAGAGGAGACGGTGGTGGTGAAGGCAGCAGTCTGGGTTGGGGGAGGAAAAAAACAAGGGGCATAAGCATACAGAAGCACAGTTTGTACATGCAGACACGTGCACACCCATAATGACTAACTGTGAAATGGGGCCGGAAAGTGTGTTGTGCACTGATATTGCTAATAAACTGAATAGCCGAAAGCAGCAACATGCTGGACACAAAGCTGTCTTCTAGCAAAGAGAGGGAATCACCGTTCTCCTCCGGGCACATCTAGCTACATAGTTCTAAGCAACAAGCCAAGAGCAGAGCCTGCTGGGCACAAGGGCAGTACCACAAGCTGCTAAGACAGGAGGGGAATTACTCTTGGTCAAAGACTACATGTCAAAAAAGAAACTAGAAACCTAAAACAGGGAACTCTGCAAACCCCACCACCATTCTGTGCTGCCATCCTCAGTGGCAGTGCCATCTCCCCAACAGGTACAGGGATGGTGTGCACACAGGCACAACCCTATCAAGACCTCAGCCTGAAAAAGCCCTTTACTGGGCAATAGCTGGTATAGATGTGCCTGATTCTAAGCTGGTGGAGAAGCAGTTCCTACCACTTGCAACTCAAAGCCCAGTGTTTTCCCCTGAGGCAGGTGAGATCAACAGCTCCTAAAAGACTGTGCTATGTGCTCTGCTTCATTTTCCAGAGGACTCTACAGCTCTTAAGCAGTGGTCTAAAGCCACCTTATTCTGAAAGTGGGATATCTGAGTTTCCTGCTTGCCCCAGGCTAAGAGGATCTAGGTCTGCAGCTGCCACTGACTTAAAGGAGGCACTGCTGGGAAAAGACCAGGAGATGAGCAGTGGCTGTCTGATCTGTTGATACACCTGCATTACGAGCACCTCCAGCATTAAGTCTTCTGAGGCCCAGGCCAAGGGTCCATCCAGCACAAACACTTCAAGCTATTTCTTCTCCCAAGTGCTCCCCTGAGTTTTGCACTATCTTGAGAGGACCACACCATTCAGATCTGTACACCACGACCCTCTACTACTCCCATGCCTGAGGATGGTGCTGGCCAGGCAAGACCCTCTTGCAAGACACCAAGGCTATGCAATACTCTAAAACTGATTCACTTTCAAGCTTACTTTTGTACTTTTAATGCAGTTTTAATAGCAGTTTCCTTCCTCTGTAGGCACTGGTTTCCCAGAAGACATCACATGCTAACCTCTTGTAAAGACGAAGCCTTTAGCTCACACCTCAGTTTAAAGCCCACAGAAGTGCCTGTAAGACTTTCAGCAACTTTCAACCATGTGTCAGGCCCAAAGTGAAAACAGTCAAAGATTGTGGGCGCAGCCATCAAAGGATGAAAGCACCAAGGCCATCCCAAGCACCACACTGAAGGCTGCAGTGCACAAGAAGCTGAAAGAAGAAAAAAGTTGTTTCCTGGCACATGTCAAAATTTACTGTATAGCCTTTGGCTCTGTAATTTTATTTTCACTCTTTTAAGAGGTTGGCTTGGATAAGAAGTACTCGCAATGACTGATAGGTGCAGTTAGTTTGAGCAGCCTGATGGGCAGTTTCAGACATTGAAATACCTTTCTTTCTCAGGTAAGAAACCTGCTGCTTAGTCTAGGAAAGCAAAATAGCAGCCACATGTTGATGCACTGGTTTTCACAAATTCAGTTAAAGTATTCATGCACATAAGGCTTTTCATTTACACATATCCCAGTAGCTATGAGGGTTGCTTTTTCAAGAATTTAGTCACTGTACGTGAGCATTATATACGGGCAGAAAATGCTAATGACTAAAAACACCAAGGCTGAAGAATAAATTTGTGACAGAACTCAGGCTGCTGCATACAGACACAATTGATTATTACTCTGTGCTGCTGAGGCCTTACCCAGAGTACTGCATCCGGATGGGAATTCCTCAGTACAGGAGAGACATGGGTCTGTTGGAACACATCAAAAGGAGGGCCACAAAAATGATCCAAGGGATGGAACACCTCTCCTATGGCTGAGAGAGCTGGGGCTGTTTAGCCTGGAGAAGAGAAGGCTGCGAGGTGCCCTGATAGCGGCCTTTCAGTATCTGAAGGGGAGCTACAGGAAAGAAGTAGACAGATTCTTTGGCAGGGTCTGTGATGACAGGAAGAGGGGAAATGGTTTCAAACTAAAAGAGGGAGGATTTAGAATGGATGTGAGGAAGAAGTTTTTTACAGTGAGGGTGGTGAGGCACAGGAACAGCTTGCTGAGAGAGGTGATGGGTACTCTGTCCTTGGAGGCACTCAAGGTCAGGTTGGACAGGGCTCTGAGCAACCTGATCGAGCTGTAGGTGTCTCCGTTCATTGCAGGGAGTTGGGCTAGATGGCCTTTAAGGGTCCCTTCCAACTCAAACAATTCTATGATTCTGTGATTCTATAGCCTCTATTTGACATCAAAGCATTTATATTCTTTTTCCCTCTGGGAAAAAAAAAAAGAAAAGAAAAGAAAAAAGAAAAAAGAAAAAAGAAAAAAGAATGAAAGAATGAAAGAAACCTTTTTCTTTAAGCTACCATAGGTTTGAATTTTTACTGGGGTGATGGGAAGACAGAATTTGAATTATATACAAT